ATATATATATAATTTTATATTAGTATTATTATACTCAATTATATTATTTTATATTACTATAATTACATTATTTATGTATAATTTCATATTATTATATCAATATTGCAATTAGGTTATATATGCAAAATGATGTATATTTTGTAGTAGAGGAAACTGAAGCAGGTGTGTTTTACTTGAGTATAAATAAAATCGACACTGAAGTAGGTTATATGTGAAAAGATAAAATCATTTAAAAAAAAATGAAAATATAATGTTTTATAAAGAAAAAGCACATATTATGTCGGAAAACTTTTTCCTTCCTATCTAAGTAATTCACTTTAAATGCATATTAAATATGGAGAGCTTAAAAAAATGTGGGAGTATGGGAGAGAGTTAACACGAAAGGAGACCATGTTGGGCTTGGCTTACCTAATGTTCGTTTACCATCACTGGCATCACATGATTGATGAGTCAACAAGCCCAATTTCACTTTCTTAGACAAGACTAATTCTATGGAATTATACCTAATTACCTACTTTTCAGAGAGTCACCATTATTTGTTGTCATAATTATCAATCAATAATTACTTTCAATAAAATGAGTTTATGCATATCAAAATTATCGAACATCACCTGCAGTTCATGAACAACTGTGGGGTCATGTATTTTGAAATCAAACGATCAAAAGCATCTTAATTTACATTTCATTTTATAATTTAATATGTAATTTTTTTTTTAATGGTTGGGACTCACGCGGTTGAAAATTCAACTGCAGATAACCCTGGTCCCAGAATTATAATAATGCATCTTTTATCTTTCTTTTTACTGAAATAAAGAAAAAAGAAGAGAAGATAAATATCGGAAATAATAGACAAATAGATAAGAAAGGAAGTAAAATAAAGGCAAAAATATACTTTTCGTTCCTTATATTATTTATTAGTATCAATTTAGTCTCACTTTAATTAATTGAATTAATTTAATCTCACATCTTTAAAATGTATTTTAATGTTTGACCTTCTGTTTCCTTTGTTTAAATATTTAATGAATATGACACGTGTCATGTCACATGTCATGCCACGTGTCATGTTATCATGTCACGTGTCATTTCATCAATGTCATATCATCATGTCACATAGTCATTATGATACATGGCATGACATGTGATATGGTAGCATAACACATGTCATGTCATAATGTCACGTGTCATGACACATGTCAAATATGTTAAGTATTTAAATGGAAAAAACTGAAGGTCAAATATTGAGATACATTTTAAAGATGTGAGACTAAATTAATTCAATTAATTAAAATGAGACTAAATTGACACTAATAAATAATATAAGGGATGAAAAATGTATTTTTGCCTAAAATAAAAGTTGTTTGCAACATAAATTGGGTGGAAGTTACATTTTTTTAATAAATAATTTATTAAAATAAATTATTAAAAAAATTATTTATTAAATTAAATAGTTTTAGCCACGTCAGATTTGAAGATAAAAAGAAAATGTCAGTTTCGGTGACGACTTTGTGTACAGTAGATGTAGAAGAAGGAAACGTCAATATGCTTGACGACTTTCATTATCCAGAAAAACAATGATCTAAGAGATATTAACTTTCAATCTAATGGTTGGATTTACAAAATTCATATTTAATATAAAGTTAGTGAGTAGTGTAACACTTGGTAAAAGACCAAAAGTTACACCCCTTCATATATATATATATATATATATATATATATATTGTGAATACATAAGCTTCTTCTCACTTTATTAAGGTGAGATATAAAAAACACTCATATTTTCATTCAAATTCATCTTTACCAAACACTTTAAATTTTTTCATGCTTTCTTATACTTCTCTTCCGCTATTCCTTTACCAAACATAAAATTAATGTATGTTTTCTTCCAAAATTTTGACCTCTTTCCTTGATCAATTAAATGTACTGACCGGACTGTATTGGTTCTATTTTCTCTAATAGGATTGTAACAGTGAATTCTCGTTAATCAAAAATGTTACAGAGAAGAAGATATATATATAAACAACTAAAGATGATAGCCGACAAAATGAACTAAAACACCTATTAGCTGTATCCAAAAGAAAACAAATATAGAAATATTAAAGAATAAACTATTGCAGGCTATAATACCCCCCTCAAGTAGGAAGGAATATGTTATGAATTCCTAACTTGTGACTAAAAAACTGGAACATAGGTGCTGGCAAGGCTTTGGTAAAAAAATCTGCTATTTGATGTTGTCTTCGTATATGTAGTACCTTGAGTTTCTTCTTGGTGACTAATTTTCTTATGAAATGATGGTCTATGTCAATGTGCTTTGATCTTTCATGTTGAATTGGATTTGATGCCAGATAGATAACACTCATATTATCATAAAGAACATATGCAGATGGTATGTGAACTTCTAGGGTGGAATGCAGTCTCTGTACTATAGATAGGGACCTGTATTCTGCCTCTGTAGATGACTTAGCTACAATTGGTTGCTTCTTTGATTTCCAAGATATCAAAGATTCTCCTAAAAAGACAGCATAACCAGTTGTAGATCGTCTAGTTTCTTCACACCTAGCCCAATCTGCGTCAGTGTATACAGTTAATTGAAGTTGTGATGAACTTGGGAATAAAAAGCCTTGACCAACAATTCCTTTAAGATATCTCAGAAGGTTGTGAACTGCTGTCAAGTGAGTATTTCTTGGTTCTTTCAAGAACTGAATGAGTTTATTAACAGTGAAGCTAATGTTAGGTCTTGAAATGGTCAAGTAGATCATTCTCCCTATAAGTCTCCTATACACAGAAGGATCTTGCAGGAGCGCTCCATCTGTATTATTTAATTGAAGAGTAGGATCCATAGGTAACTTGAGTGTTTTGGAAGCTAGGAATCCTGTATCCTCTAGCAGTTGCATGGTGTATTTTCTTTGACAGAGATATGCCTTGCTGGTTTCGGGCAATTTCTAAACCCAAGAAATACTTCATATTTCCTAGATCCTTAAGTTTGAATATAGTGTGAAGGAAGCCTTGTACTGATTGAATTAGAGCAGAATTGGATCCAGCAATTACAATGTCATCAACATACACAAGTAGAATGAGCAGATTGGAACCTTTTCCTCTAGAGAACAGGGAGTAATCATCTGTAGATTGTTTGAACCTGTGTTGAATCAAAGAAAAAGTGAGCTTAGAGAACCACTGTCTGCTAGCTTGTTTGAGGCCATATAAACTTCTCTGTAATTTGCAAACCAGCCCTTTTAGGTGTTGTATACCCTTGTGGAATGGTCATGTAAATGTCTTCTTCAAGGTCTCCATTTAGGAAAGCATTATTTATGTCAAGCTAAATGAGTTGCCAATTCTTAATTGCAACAACAGCTAGGAGAGTTCTCACAGTAGTCAGCTTTGCCACTGGGGAAAAAGTATCTTTGAAATCAACACCAACTTGTTGAGTGTAGTCTTTAGCTACTAACTGAGCTTTATGTCTGTCAATTGTGCCATCAACCTTATGTTTGAGCTTATAAACCCATTTGCAAGCAATTGGCCTTTTGTTCTTTGGTAAAGGGACAAGTGTCCATGTATTGTTCTCTTCCAACGCCTTGATCTCCTCAACCATGGCTTGTTTCCATTAAGGGAATTTCACATCTTGTTGATATGGAGAAGTATTGTTGGTGTTTGGAGAGGGTAGCCTATTTAAAATATATGTGGCCGTTTGGATACATTCACCCCCAATATGAGATAGGGATGCTGGACTGGTAGTATATGGGTTGAGGGATGACTAGATCAGGAAAAGGATCATAATTGTTGTTAGAAGCATTTTTCCAGTAGGGGAATATGCTTTCATGGAAGATAACATCTCTTGAAATCTGAATTTGATTTGAGGTGAGATCAAGAACTTTGTAACCTTTTGTGCCATTCGGATATCCAAGGAATATGCAAGGATGACTTCTAGGGGAAAACTTGTTTCTTTTGGACAAGAGAGTAGCTGTGTAGCATAAGCAGCCAAAAGAATGCATATTGGTATAGTATCTTAAAAATGGACCACCCACCATTGATATATGCACCATAGGCATGAGGGGGTGTATTGAGAAAAAAAAAATCAAGTCCCGTCAATCCTAGATCATTAAAAAGGGTCATCCACCATTTATCCACGTACTAAACCCAATAGTGTTGGACGTGAGGAGGTGTATTGGGAAAAACTCAAGTCCCACATCGACTAGAGATTAGACAATTGAATAGTATATAAGTAGAAAGTAAGACTAAACTTAAAAGAAAGCTTTGTAGGGTTGAGTTAGGCTTAAATCCACTATTCTAAGATGGTATCAGAGCTATCCTAGATTCTTAAAAATGGGCTACCTACCATTGATACATGCACCAATTCATGAGGAGGTGTATTCAAGTCCCGCCATTAAAAAAGGGACACCTACCATTCATTGATACATGCACCATGGGCATGAGGGAGTGTATTCAAGTTCCGCCAATCCTAAATCATTAAAAAAAGGGATACCTACCATTTATCTACGTACCAAGCTCAATAGTGTTAGACGTGAGGGGGGTGTATTGGGAAAAACTTAAGTCTCACATCGACTAGAGATTAGGAAATTAAATAGTATATAAGTAGAAAACAACCCTCACCTTACAAGCCGGTTTTGTAGGGTTGAGTTAGGCTTAATCCACTATTCTCTAGTTCTCGAGCCTCATCTTTCCTTCAATGGCGACGGATGCTAATTCTATGAAAGATGAATATTCCAATCCTCTTTTCCTTCATCTGTCAGATAATCCATCTTCCATCGTGGTGTCTTAACCTCTCATAGAATCAAATTGGAGATCTCGGAGCAATGCCATGCGAATGGCACTCAAAGGGAAAAATAAACTTGGTTTCATTGATGGCTCAATTCTAAAACCACCCGCAGAAGATTCAAAGAGACCATCTTGAAAGCGTAACAACAACATCGTCGCCTCTTGGATCATGAATTCAGTCTCGAAAGACATTGTTGCCAGCATTTCTTACACATGCACAACATCAGAGATTTGGAACGACCTCAAAATCAGATTTCAGAAAAAGAATGGCCAAGAATTTTCAAGATTAAGCGCGATCTTATGAACTTGAAGCAAGGTGATCTCACTATAACCCAATATTATACAAAGGTAAAATCATATTGGGAGGAATTGGCTGAATTCCAACCTCCAAATACATGCACTTGTGGTGGCATCAAGCCATGGATAGACCATCATAATATGGATCAGGTCATTCTTTTTCTTACAAGATTAAATGATTCATATTCTCATGTGAGGGGTCAAATCCTACTCATGGATCCAATTCCACCAATGAATCAATTTTTTTCCCTTGTAAGTCAAGAAAAGACTCAAAGGGAAATTGGAGTTGACCATCCTTTGCAAGAATCAAATCCTGCATTTACTTTGAAAGCCCAAGACAAGTATAAACATAATCAAAAGGAAAGACCATACTGTGAAGAATGCAAGAAATATAGGAATACAAAGGACACTTGTTTCAAGATTCATGGATATCCAGCTCACTTCAAGAAGAGAACATCCAATGCTCCTACTTTCACTGCCAAACCGGTGCTCAATCAAGTTGCTCGTGATGAAGAAAACCCATTCCAGTTCACTGCTCAACAATATCAGCAATTGTTAGCACTCCTCTAGAATCAGTCAGGAAGTTCAAATACTTAACATTCTGATCAGCATCAAATTAATGGTATTATCTTCACAATTCATCCAAGCACTAATTCTAATTTCTCTAAAAATTGGATCTTAGACTCTGGTGCTAGCACTCATGTTGCTTGCTGTAAATCCATGTTTTATTCCTTCACTGATGTGCATGACCAATATGTGACTCTGCCCAACAAATCTAAAATACCTGTTAAAGGGATTGGTAATATCAAGATAGACGTCAATCTAACTTTGTTCAATGTTCTCTATGTTCCTACCTTTAACTTTAATCATATCTCTGTTAGTTCCCTATTGCATGACAAAAAGCTCTGCATAACCCTGTATGCTACTCACTCTGTGATACAGGAGGTCACCAACTCCAAGAAGATTGGTCAGGGTAACATGCTTTTTGGGCTATACATGCTATGTCAACCTGTTTAGGGTTTAGGGTTTGCAATAACATGTGTAATAATGTTGTTAATGCTTCTGCTTGCAATAAAGCCACTTTGTGGCATAATAGATTTGGGCATATGTCTGACAAAATTTTAAGACTCATAAGCAATAAATTGGACTTGGTTGTTCCTGCCTCACTTGATTCCTCTAATTGCAATATATGTCCTCTTGCTAAATTGAAAAGATTGCCATTTACTTGTCATAATAATTTTTCTGATTCCATTTTTGATCTCTTACATTATGACATATGGGGTCCTTATGGCTATTCGACCTATAATGGTATGAGGTATTTATTAACCTTGGTGGATGACCACTCAAGGTACACTTGGATACACCTTCTCCACCATAAATCAGATGCACCAACAGCAATAAAACGATTTTTCAGATTTTTCCAGAATCAATTTGGAAAGAAAATCAAAAAAATGAGAAGTGAAAATGCTAAGGAACTTCTCTTGATAGAATTCCTTGTTCAAAAAGGGACTTATCACCAATTCTCATGTGTGGAAAGACCTCAACAAAATGCAGTGGTGGAAAGAAAACACCTGCATATCTTAAACATTGTCCGAGCTCTGATACCATAATAGGATTGTAACAGTGAATTCTCATTAATCAAAAATGTTACAGAGAAGAAGATATATATAAACAACTAAAGATGACAGCCGACAAAATGAACTAAAACACCTATTAACTGTATCCAAAAGAAAACAAATATAGAAATATTAAAGAATAAACTATTGCAGGCTGTAATTTTCTCTCCTTATATACCATTAAAAAATGCTAAAATAATGATATCCTCACATTCTACATCAATATAATATTACACATTTAATATCACTATACATAATATCATAATGTCACATATTTATATCACAATATATAATATCGTGTTATTGGTTTCACATTAACAAATTTAGTCTCTTCCATAATAGTATCACGTCATAATATTATATTTATCCACTAGTTCACTTACCTCTTCTATTATGTCAACATTTAACCTAAATGTATTAAATTTAAAATTAGAATTAATGAAATAAAATATTAAAGATAATTTATTTAAACAAAATTATTTACAACTTATTACTTTTGTAAATATCTATAAAATTAAAGGTATTTTTTTTTTAAATTAGATAAAATTTTGGTATTCTTTATTATTTTTAATTAAAATTAAAATTTTATCTTGATATCTTGCAATAAAAGTCAATATTATTTATGTTTTTATACAAAAGATTTCAGATATCTAATGCATTAAAATTATGAAAAATAGTTAATATAGTTAATAATAATAAATATTCTATTTTTATAATTTTTTTCAAACTCCTTATATTATTTTTCTCTCCTAATTAAAACTCTCATTTCTTTTTAATTAATTAGAGTGCATTCATATACTACTTATCTCTCTTAATTAATATTGTTTTCATCTGTTTTTGTACATGTCTTTTAGAGAGTCTATAATTGTTATATTTCACCAAATTAAGAACATATTTAAGTTAAAAATATTTTAATCTAAAAATAATTAATATATAAAATAATATAAATGTTATTTTTGGGTCATATATATAAAGAATAAATAATTATTTTAAATTTATTCTTATAAATATTAATATAGATATTATTCAAGGTCAAAGTGTATTAAAGATGTAAAATTCGAACTTTAGTTAGAAAATAACCCTAAAAGCACCTATCATTTGTTTTATGATTTTCTACTCTCTTGTTAACCGACAACTTTATTTATTGATCATTTGAACTTAAAAAATCATAAAGTAAAAGAGTTTTTTTCTTTCTTTCTTTATCAGTAAGTGAAAGAGTTTGACGAAGCAAAAATTGTATGTTTTTTCTGTCTACATGCTTTGATATTTTTTGGCTAACATCATTTGTCTATGCAAAATCCCGAATGCATATGCAGCTAAACAGTTTTAAAAATCTAATTATTGAAACTTCATTGGGCCCAATTCAAATGTATCGCACCGAGTACTATGGGGTGGAGTACCTTCAGGCTTTAAATGGGCTTGTACCCGTAATTTCATTTCAGCGGCATCCGGTTTATTTTATTTTACATTTTTTTATAAAAAATAAAAGAGAATTATAGTATAATATTTTTTATGGTATTCCTTCATTAAAAGTAGAGTTTCATCCTAATAATATTTTTAATTCCCATTTCTAGCCTATTTTTTATAAATTAAATTGATTAAATTATTTTAAACTTTCTCTATAAAGCCTCCAAAAATTGGGGAAAAATACAAATGGTTTGAATAAAATAAAATAAATTCACTTAATTTCCAAACTCATTTTTCTTATTCAAACTAAATTATAAACAAAAAGCAAAATTATACATAATCCAAATTAAAGACACAAAAATACAATTAAATTACTAAAATTAATTTATTATAAAGATAGATTGATACGTACAATAAGAAATACATTATATAATTTATAGTGCGTAAACCAAATGTATGTCTAAATAGATAAATTTTTTTTCTTACCAATTACGTTTAATGATCTAAAATCAATTCTGTCATGCTATATCAAACTTTAAAACAAACGAATACTAAGTCTTGAGTGAGGTTGTTTGAGCTTAACCAAAGGTTTTGAATTTGAATTCTAAATTACAATTGTATTAAATATTTAGAGGAGGAGAGAATTGCTTGTAATGATTTTACTTGGTTTAAACATGAATGTCTCTAATAAAAAAATATATGTAACCTACAAATATTAAATAAAAATATTATATATAATAACATACAAAAAGTATTATTATAGATAACATATATATAATCTGTATTACATATAGTTACATATAATTTTAATGTTGATTTTAAATAAGATTCAAAAATATATAATCTGTGTTACTATAATTTATATTTACACTTTTTAATAATATATCAACATATTATATTTATAATATAAGTTAAAAAATAATTTTTAATTACAAATATTGTATCACTATGACAATTCTTTTGTATTGTAAAAAAAAAAGTATTATTATATATAAATTATTAGTGGTGTGTTAAAAAAAAGGATTATCTTAAGTTATAAGTGGTGCTTGTAATATTTACATTTATATTTATTAGCTAAACTAGTATTTTAGCATGTGCAATGCACGTACTAAATATTTATTATATGTAACTAAAATTTATAATAAATTATATATAAATAAGTATTATGTTTGAATATATAAATCCAGGTACATGCAATTCTGCTGTATGATGGTATTCAAATTGTCTTGCTACTCCATTATATTGCTTTCATTCATCAATTATTATGAAGTGAACTACCACGGAAACTATTTTTAATGTATTGGTTTTTCTATTTTTTCCACTTTTACTTTTTTCCCCTATAATTTAAATGCAGTATATATTATTATTCCTCAAGTGATTATTGGGGAGTTGTTATTTGTTTGTGCTTATGTGATCCTACACTACAGTTCCCAGAGTTGATCTCGTCATTCTTTTCACGATTTTCATTGCCATCTATGGGGAGTCCACGTGCAGCACCAGCAAGGAATGTTGTCAGGAATGTACCTTCCTATCCAACTCACCAAATGGAGGCAAGTTTTTCTTTATGCCTACAACTCTTTTATGGTGTGATCTGCATAACTTCGACGGCTATGCATTTATGATTTTGATGACCTATCAGCTTTCTATGCAGCCATGATAATTAAAGCCTTGACGTGTATGTAATAATCTCAAATGACGCTGATTCTACTTTGAACACACATATTAATATTCATATGCATAATTGCATATTAGCTTGCAGCTGCTGTCAAATCATTTGCAGCTGTTCATCCAGTATCTTTAAATGTAAACTGAACTTGTTACGTCTGTTAGGTCTGGATATGAGTCAAGCTGCTCGCTAGAGTCTAGATACTCACGGCTTGATTCATTAACATCTCAACAGCAAGGCTCATGCGATGAATTATGCTCGAGGGTTCTTATGTTTGGCTCAGCTTGTGTGTTTTTATGTTACTTTTTTTATTATTATATACTTTTTTCAATTAAAATAGATAAAATTAAATAAATTAAGTTGATTATAGAATTTAAGTATTGGCATATCAAATTCATAGTGAGGTGAGGTTAGCTTGAGCCGAAAAACCGGACTAACTTTCTTAACAAGCTGAGCTTAGCTTTGAAATATAAATAATGAAACAAGTTGGTTTAAAGCCAAGACTTAGCTGCAAAATTTGTCATGCAATTTGTAGTGATTTATGGCTTTACATTCATTGTGTCAACATCCATAGGATTATTATATAAGGATTATGTACTTTTTGACAATTATTTTCATCTGTTAACTGCAGAGAAACTACCCTGCTCCAATGCAATCTGCAGTAGAACCATCAGAGGACTCAATCACTACCCTCGTTTCTATGGGCTTTGACAGGAATTCTGCCAGACAAGCCCTGGTGCAGGCCAGAAATGATGTCAATGTGGCCACCAACATCCTACTGGAGGCACAGTCTCACTAATTCCATAAATGTTCTGCGAACACGAGAGCCAGATTGTTCTGAATTGATATAGATGGAATCCCAATCATGAAGGATTGGAAATTCACTAATCATGATGTGAGGATGTTTGTGAACTTGAGGCATTCCTAGTACCATCCTCAAGGATATTCCTCCTTTCTTAGGATCATTTTTCCCACCTTAACTTTAATCTTTAGATATCCATTTTGAGTACTGGCATTGATAGACGAATGAGTTAGGATCCTGTACAAATTACTTGCAACATATGGAAATTATGCATATTTTCATGAAATGTGAATCAGATAACTGTAGTTGAAGGTTCTTCTATGCAGTTTGCTTGAAGCTCATGGAGCTCAGTTTCATGCTGATCTGTGAAAGCTGTTGAGAATGTCACTCTGATGAGGTCTTCTTATTGTCTATAATGAAATTTCTTGTAAACCACCTAATCCAATGAAATCTGAAAAAGAAAATCATAGTGCAAATTGTGGAGGTCTTAGCCTCCAAACTTACCATTTGTTGAGGTTAATTTGGTGCCTCAGAAAATTAGATGAAAAATTAGGCTTTAAGGTGGAAATTTTTGACCTCCCATATTAATTTTGGCTTTGAGGTAATTTCCTTTGATCATGCTGGCTCTCATGAGCAATTTATATTCACCGGATGTTATTAATGAACCATCTTTTTATTCTAAAAACTCGTGTTCACAAAAATGATCCCCTGAGAAAACTTGCATTCGAAAACATTTCTCTGCAGTTAAGCCTTTCCAACAGAGTTACTTAGCTAATTCATCTCTACTCACAAGACCCTGATAATTAAAAAAAATAAAATTGAAACGTTCTTTAGCACAACAAGGGATCCTGTGGATTTGGATTCGAACAACTTTGAAACCGTTATAACCCGAGCAGAACATGCTCAATTCCGCATAGTTTGATGTGTCCAGATTATAAATCTAGTCTTTGCCATCATGAGCATAAAACTGTTATTGTTATTTTTCCATGTCAATGGTACGAACAAACAATTAATAAAGTCCCCGTCTCAATCGTCTTGGCATAGTTAAACGAATCTTTGAAGCATGTCTCAAATAATATTAAGAAAAAGATGAAATCTAAGGAACATCCTTTTTATGCTTTCCACCTATGCAGCCGCATATTCTTGAGACCACCACCACCTGTACTTAAATCATGTTTTTAATCTATGTATTCTTCGTTCTAAGAGTTTATGGTGTATATTTTTTATTAGCAATGTGAAGGGACCACATTTTGTTACTGATTTGAAGGGGATTGTTTTGCCATTTGAAGATGTGGTCCCTCATCTTTTATCTTCACCTATTACATCTTAGGCTGTCAAAATATTTAACTGCAGATATCAGTGGAAATTGTGGGCTTAAAGGTTGGTGAAATCCCATAATCTAATTTCAGTTTAACTTAGACTTTGCACACAGTTTGGCTTTTATAGGCATATAGGTGGAGCATTAGAGTTGTTGACAAATGAGCATAATCAATTGACTAGATACTGGACAGTATGATGATAAATTTGCATAGAAAACTAAAAAAGCGACACGAGTCTACACTGTGTGCAACATATCTACGTGTTAAAAATTTCTTGCTTACGTGATCCACTTTGTCGCATATGGACGACGAACTCTTGCATGAGAACGGATGAAGAAAAGTAAGAAAGTTGTATAAAAAAACTGAAGGTAAAAAAGGCTTTGATGGACTAGTGTTTGATTTTGAAAAAGTAGTGTCGGGTTATCGACCAAAGAAAAAGGAAGTAGTGTCGGGGAAGTTTAGCTTCCAACAAGAACGTAGATGAAGGGGAAGACGGATGAGGACCACCCCGCACCGCACCAACAGAAACTTGGTGCATCGTAAAAGTATCTCGAGTATTATAGAAATATGTTCAATTGTTTGAGTGCAATGTATGTAATCTCTTTCCTCGTATCTTTCGTTACTTTGCTATATGCAGCTTAGTAGTATAACCCTAAGTGTGTTTTTGGACTTATTACATTTTTTTTATCTACAAAACTTAATCATGATATTTTACTTAAATGATACCAACTTCTTAGTTGAGTGTGTGTTTTTTAAAATTAATGTGAATTAAATTAATTTTATAGAATTTATTTTAATGTCAATTAAGTAAGAGGATTTAGATATTTTTATTTCAAAACCAAGTTAATAAGAATATATAATATAATTTTTATTCATGGATTAATTATCTAAAATTGTTTTAACTCAAAATTAATTTCAAACTCAATTAATTTTTCAACATAAAATTAAATACGTGAACATTTTAGTTGGTATATAAATTTTCAATGTGATTTTGGATGATTTAAAATGAATCCAAACAAGCATTTTTGTAACTATCATCATGATTTAATTAACTTCCGCATAATATCACCCGTGTGTTAATGTCAAGAACACGTTTTAATTTACTCTAAATTCATGCTGCATAAGTTAATATAAATCATCAAATTGATAATGTTTATCTAGATACAAGTTTAGAAGTATTTTTGAGAACTATTAAAAAATAAAAAAAAATCTTAAAAAATACTCCTGATTTGTATTCTAACAGATTTGTTGTGATTAGAACTTGTTGGGGGAACTTATTTAAGCAAGGAGTGAAAATAAGTTTTGTCAAATGAATACATTGAAACATGCAAACTCAAAAATTGCACATTCTTTGGCCACTAATTCTTTTTATACATATATCTTTTTGCACATTATATTCCTTATTTATTATTTTTACATAAATATGACATCAGTATGATCTTAACCTGGTCAAAATCATCGAGGTATGTGTGTCATAAAATATTGAAAGATATTACCTTTTATATATCCTATTACTTTATCAACATTTATTATTTTTCTCGATTTCTTTTAATTACACTATAGTAAGAGGAAGTAAGCAAACATTATTTATTATAAATTAATCAACGGAAGCAAAAAAGAGTATTGCACTAGTACTGTACGAGAGGTGTAATTCTGCATCTTATTTAACGAGTTTTTTTTCCTCCTAATTTAGTGAAAGGATACATTATAATCTATAATTTTCAATCAATAATAAGTGTTAGAGTCGATGTGGCGAGAATTATACTGTTATGATGAAGCTTGTCAAATCTTTCTTACATGGAAACTGCTTTATTTGATAATGAAAGCCTCCCATTTATGCTCCTCTAGGTGTAACAATAACATAGCATTCATCTTTTTTGTTTCCCATTGACCTAATTCAAACTCGAATCCCTCAGGCCACAGGATCTTCATATAACTCACTAGTCTGTGAAATCCCCGATCAGCTATGAAGTCCCAAATGAAGAAAAAAAGAGTGCCACCCATTCCCAACACTTGTTGCAACACCAGCAATCAGATTTGCATCAACCCTTGTTGTTTCTTCTGCAGCATGAAAGAACCAGATGCATCTGAGAGAAGGGCTGGGATAGTGGCCTGCTTCAGAGAAATGCCTGATGGAGACACTCATGAACACGTGTTGGTGCTTAGTGGACTATGGCACATCGCAATGAGCCAACCCAACGACCCAGAGTTCCCATCCCTCGGCGTATTCAAGTGCATGGCAAGCCTAATCCACAAAGGCATAAGCGACACCCACTGGCTTCTCACAAACCAAAACATATACATACCTTACTACGCTGCTCACATTATTGGCTCATACACAATGAACAAGGAGGAGTTTGCACAACTAGCCGTGCAATCAGGTGTGGTACCCCCTTTGGTGGACCTTCTCAGAGGCAAGATCAGTTGGGTTGAGCAAAGAGTCGCTGTTCGAGCACTTGGTCACTTAGCCAGTTACAAAAGCACGTTTGAATCAGTAGCATATCACGAGCAAGAGGTGGTGAACTTGGCCTTGAACTTGGCTTCCACCTGTTTAGAAATTGTCTATGTTGACTTCATTGCTGTGAAGGAAAACAAAAGAGTGGAGTACCATAGGAACTTGATTACTAGAGGGGTTGGGGATTTGGAGATGGAGAATCGCAAGGCAGAGGAATGGGCTAGCCAGCTTCAATGTTGGTCTCTTTATCTTCTCAATTGCTTTGCTTGCAAAGATAGGTCTCTGGATCTCATCTGCAAAAAGGTGTTTCTCAAGGACTTGTGTGATATATGGGGTGGCTTCATAAACCACACGTCACCAGGTGGGGTTGGACTCATTAGAATCTTGTGTTATAGTAAAGTTGGAAGGAAAAACATTTCTGAATTACCGAAAGTTGTGAACACTCTAGGTAACCTTTCAAGATCTTCAGATGATTGGCAGTATATAGGCATCGATTGTCTTCTTCTGCTTCTCAAGGATCCTGATACTAGGTACAAAGTTCTTGATGTTGCTGCTTCGTACCTTATTGATTTGATTGAACTTACAAGCCTTGGAGATAAATCCAACGTGGGTGATACCATCATAAGGGTTCTCCTTAGTGTGAAACCTAACAGACAAAAGGTTGGAGCAGCAATGTTGCAAGAGGTGGTGGATAGGAGGAACAAGGAGAAGCTACTGTCGGAGGAAAAAGTAGAGGAAACAAGGGTTTTGGTGGGTTTGATAAAGCAACAAGGGAATCACATGTTCAGGTTGGGAAAGGTGGAAGAGGCTTTGTTGAAATATTCTGAAGCACTTGGTGTTTGTCCCTTGAGGTTTAGAAAAGAAAGAATGGTGATTTATAGTAGCCAAGCACAGTGTCATATTCTGCTCAAGAACGCGGATTCAGCTATCAGTGACTCAACGCGTGCTCTTTGCCTTTCCAACCCTGCAAACACACATGGAAAAAGCCTTTGGAGAAGGTCACAAGCATATGACATGAAAGGAATGGCCAAAGAGAGCCTCATGGACTGCATAATGTTCATCAACAGTTGCATCAAGTCGGGGGATAGCATGCGTGTCAAGATTCCTTACCACGCTGCGCGCATGATCAGCAAACACATGGACGCCACGTGGCTCTTTGCCACTGCTCGCTTGAAGGTGGAACAAATACAAGAGTTGAACCATGAAGAGCAACCACGTGATCATAAGATTATGGTGGAGACGAGAAACAGACTCATACACGGTAATTAAGTCCTTGCCTTGCAGGTTTAATTTATTGCATTAATATGATTAGAGCAAATTAATTTATTGAAGAAGTTATAAAATTAATCTTTTATATATCAACCACTTTTGATATAATAAGAGTATGTTATATATCAATATTAAATATTAGTTAGTACAAATACTTAAAATTTAATTGTATTTTTTAGTTAAGATGTTTAAGATTCAAATGCTGATATTTAAGATCCTTAACATTAGTATATGTTTGGTATTATGAATTTAAATGAATTTTGTAACTGCTCAGTTAAGCATGCATATATTTAAGCTCAAAATGTGATGGTGATTTGAATTTTGAGTTTATCTGCTGGGTATGCTTTAGACTTTACAGCGTTTGCGTGCGTGAGAGTCAAAATCACTTTTGCTCTGAGCTACTTTTTCAGGTCTGTCAACCATTATTGAGGAACCTTTTCACGCAAAAGAAGCTGATAGGAGAAAGATGGAAAGGGCGAGAAGGAGATTCAAGAAGGGTGTTGTGGCTCGATCAACGTAAAAGTCAATTTAAATGGCTTGATATATACATGCGGAGGAAGAGAATCTTGTGTCACATCCCAGATTTTTGCCACTAGGATAGACATAAACTTTGTTTAATTAAGTGCTTTAATTTGTCAGTGGCAGGTTATATAAGGCTCTTAGATCTATTTTACATATTGAAAATGGTAAATGGAGTGTTACGTAATGGAATAGCAAATTATAAAAGAATGGCGTGACTGATATAATCCAGCAGCACGCAGGAAAATGGAGAGGACCACATCTCCATTTTAATATAATACTATATATTCTAACTTATTGCTCAGATTTAAAATACCCAACAATAATAGTACCGCTCAAACTAAAACATTGATCAGAAGTTCAAGGGAACTGAAAAAACTTGGCGAAAATGGAGTTTGAAGCGTATGCTGCATTCATATAAATTGTATTTTAAAGTTTTGATAAATAGTTTATATTGTAGCACAATGTTATTCTATTTATTAATAATTTATTTTAAAAATATTAAAATTTAATTCATAAATAATTATGATAAATAAAAGTCGAATTACATAAGAAGTAAAAAAAATTCCTAAAATCCCTCTTGTCGAAGAAAAATCCCTTAAAAATACTCTTGTGCAAGATAAAAGTTCGTATTTAATACGGTTTTATATATAGACGAATGGGAAGTTAAAAGATAGAATAAAAAATGAATTCAAAATGAGAAAAATAAAGTTATAATATGCAGTTAAATGGTACAATAAGTAAAAGAAAATTGGGTTTTGGCTCTATTATTGTTATATATGAGCATGTCTTTAATTTTGGGTACTTTTTTTTAGCATTTATATGTGGTTTGCATAACAAAATTTTAAAATAGCGGTAATCCTGCAATTCATCATCCAACTAGTGTTTTTAGGGCTGGCTGGTATTCGTCATTATCCAGGACTGATGATTATGGTTCTAATAAGGGAGTCGGTTTATCTTGGAATGTGTGTTTTTGCTTTGAAAATGTGAAGTTCATTCACTAAGTAAACCAAACAGAGTTTAATAGTGTGTTTGGATGGAGGATTTTAATGGAGCAATCCAATTTTTTTTGAAGAATTTCAAATGTTTCAATGTAAAATACTCTGTTTGGATGAAGAATTTACAAAGAATTTGAAATTTAAGTATTTGTGAAATTCCATAAAGATGTAGAATTTGAAATTCTTCTTCTGTTTTCTCCTACCTCCATCTCCTTTCTTTCAATAGTTTTTTTTTAATTATTGAATAGTCAAATTTATTTTTTAAATCATTAAGTTTTATCCTATAATAATTTTTAAAATTATTAGTTTTATAGAATTAATATTTATAAAAATTGGCTAATATTTAGTTTTATAAAATTTAATCTTAAGACTTTATTTTTATCTTGAATGGAAATTAAATTGTTCTTTTCAATTCAAACTAAGAATTTGAATTGACTTGTCCAAACAAAGTATTTAAGAGATGATGAAAATTGAAATTAAAGTAATTCAAGTTCTAATAATTTCAAATTTTTTGAATTTCTAAAATTCTTCATCCAAACACACCTTAAGTTTCTTTTGCTTATGAGTGGCATTTAGTGGCTGTCTTTATTAAGATTTTTTTATGATAGAACAGTGGAACTTTTTTTTCTTGCCATAACACAACTTTACAAATCCATCTTGAATCTTCATGGTAATTATATAGAACTTGTAGATTAGATGCTGCATGCACTTGTATCTGTAAACCAAATGGTAGTTGGTGATCTTGTTCTTGTTTGAGAAGAATGGTGATAATAAGTTAAGATTTTGTTTAACTATTAATATGACTCCACCATGTGGTTCCTGCGAGCAGGGCATTGTCTAGGTATATAGATATTGTCTGGTCCCTCCAGGTACATGCAATTCTGCTGTATGATGGTATTCAAATTGTCTTGCTACTCCATTATATTGCTTTCATTCATCAATTATTATGAAGTGAACTACCACGGAAACTATTTTTAATGTATTGGTTTTTCTATTTTTTCCACTTTTACTTTTTTCCCCTATAATTTAAATGCAGTATATATTATTATTCCTCAAGTGATTATTGGGGAGTTGTTATTTGTTTGTGCTTATGTGATCCTACACTACAGTTCCCAGAGTTGATCTCGTCATTCTTTTCACGATTTTCATTGCCATCTATGGGGAGTCCACGTGCAGCACCAGCAAGGAATGTTGTCAGGAATGTACCTTCCTATCCAACTCACCAAATGGAGGCAAGTTTTTCTTTATGCCTACAACTCTTTTATGGTGTGATCTGCATAACTTCGACGGCTATGCATTTATGATTTTGATGACCTATCAGCTTTCTATGCAGCCATGATAATTAAAGCCTTGACGTGTATGTAATAATCTCAAATGACGCTGATTCTACTTTGAACACACATATTAATATTCATATGCATAATTGCATATTAGCTTGCAGCTGCTGTCAAATCATTTGCAGCTGTTCATCCAGTATCTTTAAATGTAAACTGAACTTGTTACGTCTGTTAGGTCTGGATATGAGTCAAGCTGCTCGCTAGAGTCTAGATACTCACGGCTTGATTCATTAACATCTCAACAGCAAGGCTCATGCGATGAATTATGCTCGAGGGTTCTTATGTTTGGCTCAGCTTGTGTGTTTTTATGTTACTTTTTTTATTATTATATACTTTTTTCAATTAAAATAGATAAAATTAAATAAATTAAGTTGATTATAGAATTTAAGTATTGGCATATCAAATTCATAATTTTATTTATTTATTTTTTAATGAATATAGTCCGGATAATGTTCTAAAACTAAAAATCAAGAATTAACCTTCTCTTAGCATTAACTTAAATTACATTCTTACTTCCTTAATATGTACAAATATTAAATTATCATTCTTTATATTTTAAAATATAAAATAAATTATACTTTTATTTTTAAAATTTATATTAAAATGTATAATTTAAAATATTTAATTTAACATCATTAAAAAATATTTATATAAGATTTTAAAGCATACTTTGACTAAATATATGTTAAAACATTTTTAGTTTGATGAGATTCATCCACTTTATAAAAAAATTGTAAAATATATAATTACATTTAAAGTAATTACAAAAATTATAAATAAAATAAATTATATATGCATACAATTAAAAAATATTTTTTTAAAAATTTATATTTATAACGTATGTATAATATATATATATATATATATATATATATATATATATATTATA